GATGGTGCTGGTGGTGCTCATGGTGCTGGTGGTGGTGCTGGTGGTGCTGGTGGTAGTGGTGGTGGTGGTGGTAGTGATGGTGGCAGCGCAGACTCAACAGCCACTGAAAGAGGGCCAAATTCTTCTGACCCAAGTGCTTTCAAAGACAGTGTTCTTATTTATTCCTTGAGATTATGCTGCACACCTGGGTTAATGTGTATGATAATGCATGGGACACTGCGAAATTGCTAAGGGTAAGTTTCAAAAGTTCTCACCATGAAAAATGATAAGTATTCAAAGAGATAGATGTGTTGATTAGCTTGAGTTAATTATTCTACATTATATTCATTAATCATGACAGCACTTTGTACTCCATAGAAATATACATCATAATCTGTCAACTTGCAATCAAAAATGTAAACAAACAGAGGCATAGGACAACAAAACAAAACAAAAAAAGATCATACGAGACATAATAGACACCTTGATGGCCACCCATCTAGAACTTAGATAAAATGGACGGAATCACCAAGAACACAAAGTAACAAAGTCACAAAGAGCAAAGAGAAGTAGGAGCCCAAAGAGCCCTCTCTTTTAGAAAACCGAATATATAATCAATTCCCCAAAGAGAAATCACCAGGCCCATGCAGATTTACTAGTGAAAACATCCAAACATTTAGCAAAAAAATAACTATTTCTGCAGCTTCTTCCCAGGATGGGGGCAGCGAGAGCACACGCTCCTGGCGACACCCGAGCGCACCAGGACTACCAGGGGAAGCCGCGCAGGTGACCGGCCCCGACGGAGGTCTCAGCACGAGGGCACGGGGTCCTCCAGAGACAGCCGGCAGGCTGAGGCCCCGAGGACGGGGAGAGCCGCGCGCACAGGAAGACGCCTTTATTCCAGATGGGAGCCTGGCTCGATGTTCAAACGCTGCTCAGAGTAACTGGCGTCAGCAGACTGGAGGGAAAACGTGATCGCGTTAATGGGCACAGGAAAAACTTGACAAGATCCAACAGCGCTAGGACTTGAAAAGAAGGCAGAAAACGGCAACCTCTCAGCAACGAAGAGGGTGGAGAAGCTTCGCAGCTCGGTGCAGAGGATGCCTGAAAGGTGTGAGAAGCGACGCACTGTCTCTGTGATCAGGAGGGACCAGATGCGTGTACACACACACAGGCACACACAGGCGCGCGCGCGCACACACACACACACACACACACACACACACTTCCTTCCACACTGTACTGGGGCCAACTGAAAGACCAGAGGAAAACTTGAGCAACAGAATAAAATAATTGCACACTGCAACTCCAAGCGCAATGTGAGCGTCCCACTGCCTGTGATGAAAAAAATAAGTAATAGATGTCGTTGAATAAATAGGCAAGTGAGGGAAATAAAGGAGGTCACCTTGGGAGTGACTTGGGGGGCTCCGCCTCTTATTAAGATCAGGACCACAGAAGGGGTTCACGGTGGCAGGGCGAAGAGGGCCTCACCAAGCCCAGCAGCCCCAGACCCTGCAGCCCATGGCCCACACTCCGACGCCCTCCTAAGACCCCTGCTGGCCTCCAAGGGCCCTCCTAGCTTTTCTCCATTAGCCAGCTGGGATCCCCACTGTACCCCGGAGCTCTCCTCCCTGAGCTAGAACACTGCATCCTGTTGGCTTCAAAGCAGCTTCCACGGGGCGCTGTTCAAGGGAAGGAAGCTCCAGGCCCGCATAAGAGCCCAGGGCACTCCCCCAAAGCTCAGAAGTCCCTGCAATAGCACTTCCTCCAGGCCAGCTCCCCAGCCACCAGCGAGCTCCTTGATTCTATCTTCCCAGACCCGCTCTGCCCTGGTCACAGATTCGTATGCTACTCCCTTCTCTCTCCTTTACCAATCTCATCCTCAGAGAGAAATCTCCTTCACGGTGACTGCTGATTCTGAACTGTCTGGCATCTGGTTATGGCGCCCAACAAATTCCTGGACATTGTGCATTCGGAAAGGCAGCGACCCCCTCACAGTGTGCGCCCCCTTACCATTGATCGCTATTGGTTGGTTCTTCCCTCCAGCAGGTGTAAGGGTGCCCCTGCCTTTGCCAAAAGCCGCCCCTCACCCGAACTTTGTCCCATGACTCTAGGCCCTGCCTGGGCTTTCTGGTCTCTTGGGTAACTGGGCTAATGTCACACAAGTGCTGGCCTCCAGTCTCCAGCTCAGCACTGGGGACCAGGGTTCCTCTGGAATGGGGGATGGGGCAGCCACAGACGAATAGAGCTGCTGTGGCTGGGAAAGGAAGTGCCATGTGCTGGGGTCCTTTGGGCTGCATGCTGGGGGGGTGCTGCTGGGGGAGCATCCACTGTCCCCTTGAAGGGTCACCCTCTGAAACTCAAAGGGATCCCCAGAGGTCTAAGGAATAAAAGTGTTCCATTTGCTGCTTCCAGTTTTTGCTTGGAAGACAGGAACAGCAGGACAGAGGAGGATTTAGAGGATGACAAACAGCCCCAGCCAGGTTGCTTGTCCTCAAAGGGATACACACACCGAGCTATTTTTAAAAACATCTTTGCTTATAACTTGGATCCTGGAACAGAAGCCGCTCTCCCAAGTCTCACTGTGGCGTTCCCTGAGATCACAGGCCCTCGGATGACAACCAGGGACATGAGTGGTACTTGCTCTACCACACCACCATCAGCAAAGACTCCAGATAGCGGATTGAAGTGCCAGCTGCAGCCCTAGATTGGAACTCTGCACGGCTCACTCGGGGGCAAGGCCTGGGCCCTGACTGCCCTGCCATCGTCTAGGGCCACAGGGGTCCTGCCAGGACCTGGCTTACCAGAAAGGAGCCCAGGGCGGGACCATGATAGCCCCATCTCTGCAGACACTCAGAAATAAAAGTCACACCCAGAGAAAAGTACGGGGGCCATTTGGCCTGATCCCTTGGGTTATTTAGGGCAGATGGGTGCAGGCAGAGGCCCACACTCATTCCAAATATTTGGAAGTGAGCTAAAGTGGTGTAGATTGACTTCCACTAGAAAGAGCTACAGTTTGATTATTTTTGGGTTGTGGGAATTCCAACTGTTAATGACAGTACCAGGTCTAAATTTGCCTCCAGCTGTTCTCAAACCCAGCAAAGATTCATCCCCAGTTAGGGCGCTGTAAGGATACAGCGAGCACCTCACTGTTGCATGCCCCAAGAAACCCAGTGCCCCGTCTGCCAGAGTCACAATAGTCATGGAGTTTTCTCTTCACCACTACCTGGAAATCTGATTTTGGATGCCAATGTCTAATCCATAAACTCTGAACTTCGTTTGTTCTGCGTCAGCTGCCTTGCCCCTGGCTTCCATGTGATCTTCTGTGGTACGTGGCTTGCAGGCATCTGTTGTAAATTTGCAAAGTGGGCGCCCAGGAAAGCACACTTCCTGGGGCTTGTTAGGGTTTTCCAGAGGACACTGCCTCTGGGCCCCCGTGGGCCCGTTTCCTAGCTCCAGAAAGTGGGGGGTGCAGAGGTTTTGGTGAAACCCCGCGCCACACGCATGGCTGTCTCCAAACAAGGCCAGCTGTGCGGCCCACCTGAAAGCCAGAGCTTCTGGGGACGCTGACCTCACCCCAGGCCCAGGCAGTGGAGCGCTGCTGGCCACAAACACGAAGGGGAAGGGAGGAGGGGCGATGCAGACACCGTCCCCACACAGAACTTTGGTTTCTAGGCAAAAACTTCAACTTCTCTGGAGAAGCAGCCAACTCCTCGAAGGATATTACATAAGCCAGTCAAACCAGGGAAAGTGAAGCGCTTAGCTTGGAGGGCAGAGAGGACCTGGGAGCAGATGCTGCCTGCTCCGCTTTCCAGAGCGGGCAGCAGGACGCTAGGCAGGCTCAGCCCGCAGGTGTCTGCGCGCGCCCTGAATTTCCAGCCAACCAAACCACGCCAGAAGGCTCTACCACCCAGGCAGAGCCGAGGCCCGGCGCCGGGTTAGTGAGGCTCGTTGGAGTCCACGGTGTTCACTAGCGTTTCCTCTAGCCAACATTAAAAGGGCACTCTGGATCCTGCGTCACCGCCACAAACCCTAAATGCACAAGGCACCAGCAGAGATGTGAGGGTTGTCCTCAAAGTCCCTCAGCTTCCCAAAGTGTAGAGAAAACAGCAGAACAAAAGCTGTTCTGGAGGGGACAGGATCGGGGACAGGACAACAGATCGGTGTGGGTGGAACTCTGACAATTCACATATAAATGTGTCTGGCACGCCCTCCATGCTCGGGGTCACGACACACGTTGTGTCGCTGTGTTGCGCTGCAGGAAGACGGCTTCGGTGTGCGGCACTGCCAGGATGTCCCTAGTCATTCAAGCACGCATCTCCTAAATAGCTGCTAGAGTCAAACTTCTCTATGTTTAAAATAAAACTATTTAGTGGAAATGCAATCAAGCTGAGGCAAATACCTCCTCTCGTGTATTATATTCCAGGGAGAAATAGAGAACGTGCTCCCTCAAGCACACGACACCTATTTTAAATGCCTTGTCTTGGGATATGCTTATATAAGATATTCGAGAAGTTCTATTCCATGTTCTTTGCTCTTTATGGTCTTTTATTTTTTGAACACCCAGCTCTATTTCCAGGGAGAAACAAAGCGGTTACTTCGAGGCCGGCTCCACGTTATACTTAGAACTGGCGTGCTCAGAATAGCTCTGCAGTTGGCAACTCTCCGGGGACCGCCGCCGTCTTGTTAGCAATCTCACCGCGTGGGGCGCGCTTGACGCCCTGGTGCTGGGGGGCAAACTCAGCACCCCAAAACTTGTGGGCTCAACCTCTGCGAAGGCACAGGATGACACGCGTCCCCGCCTGCCCCGAGAGGTCTGGGAAATCCGGGAACACAAATATTTTCCCAAACTGCTGACCCAGAAAGAGCAAGTGGGCCCCTGGGCGTGGCCCCGAGAGTGGCACGCGCATGATTCTGAGGTGGCCCCTCTTTAGAGACACCCGTCAGCCCTCTCTGAGAGCAGGTGTGACCCGGAGCGCTGCCCGCGGCGCAAGTCCCCGCGGCTGCCAGCTCGGACTCACCTCAGCGTGAAGCGGTCCTCCGTGCAGTTTCTGGAGACGGAGACGGGGAAGGTGAGCACGTCGCCTCGGCGCGCTGTCCTGGGGACGTAGTGCACCGCCACGTTGCTGTCCAGCCGCAGCTCCTTCAGCGCCGGGGTGCCGTGGGTCTGGTAGAGGACGACGCTCCCGATTCTGTGCAGGGGCGGCCCGGACTCGTCGATGTCATTGCGACCTGTGCGTGCGCCGCTGGTCCTCCACAGGTCCTCCTGGGCACAGTCCCCGCGCGCGTCCCCGGGCTGCACCGAGTAGTACAGCTCCACCGGGCTGCCCTCGGGCTGCTCCGCCGCCTTCCTCCTCCCGGCCACCACCGTCGGGGGGCTGAACCACGCAGCCGGGACCTCCAGCTCGGCCACGCACAGCCCCAGGTCCCCGGCGAGCCGGCAGCTGCCCCGCACCTCCCGGGTCTCGCGGAAGGCGAAGACGCGCAGGCAGGGCAGCCTCTCCGCGGGCCGCGCGTCGTCCCAGTCCCGGCCCACCAGGTGGAAGAGGACCTGCACCTTGGGGCGGCTCGGGTAGATCTTCTCCCGCAGGATGGAGGCCTTCAGCTTCCAGTTCAGGGAGAAGGTGCTGGTGATGCCGAAGGGGCTGGTGGGCAGCAGCAGGTCCGGGGGCACGACCTGCTCAATGGAGAAGGGCCCGTAGCTGGCATTGAGCACCGGCAGCTGCTGGGACTTGTAGATGAGGAAGGACTCGACCCGGGACTGCAGGCTGGAGTTGCGCATGATATCCTGGTTGGCCTCCTTCAGGAAGAAGGACACATCGGCGTTGTTGATGTGGTAGGTGACCGGCAGGTAGGTGGGCAGCAGGGAGAAGCGCTGGATGCTCTCGAGGATGCCGCGGCTCTCGGTCCCTGTCGGGAGGCAAGGGAGTCAGGGTTAGTAATCCAGGCAGCAGAGCCGCCCTTCCTGACTGAGGGCCGGGCTCTGTGCCCACAACACCATTCTCAATCCGGTGCCTCTCATGTGAATCACATGTGGCTGATGAACACAGGTGCAGGGTGCTGGGTGCACATTTGTTTTAGAAAAAATGTATGCCACTCACGGAAGTGGGAAATCGGTGGGCTTCATTGTCGCCTGAAGCCCACGTTCATCATGCAAGAGAAGCAAATTCAAAGCAAAGAGTCTTTCGATTTCGACACGTGGCACCAGCAGTGCCTGTCCAAGGTTAAGGAGTGGTAGGCAAGCGCTGGGAAGGTGTGATCACCTGCTCCCCTCGACAGACAGGCCCATGCATCAGCCCAGACCGACAGAGGCAGGTGGACATCGGAAACAAAAGTAGCTCATCAACAAACAGCTCGCGGCAGGCCTGTCTGTACCCCTCCTGCTTCATCTTCTGCTCCACCACACACACACACACACACACACACACACACACACACACACACACACGACGTGCAAAGACGCACTGGCTGGTGGGAAGGGGCAAGGCCATGGCCAAGAAGACCAAGATGGGTCATCACCAGGACTTCACCAGGCGCTGGGCAGAGGAGGTTCTGGAGGGCAAGCTGGGAAGGGCCCAGCAGGAGACAGCTGTGCGGGCTACACTTCGCCGGCCTCCGTGTGTCGGAGCCCAGAGCTGGGTGTCTGGGGCAGGTTCCCCCTCCCCCTTCCGCCAATGGCGCAAGCCGCACCATTGCCCGTGGACAGAAGCATCTTCCTGCTCACTGAGCTGATCCTCCTCTTGCGGGAGGGAAGGAAAGGGATCCAAAATGTTATTTTTACAGTTTGCCTTACATTGTGTAAGAAAAACACAGACAGCAGAATTGCATAACTCAAAGGACCAATTTAACGGGTTTTAGAAATGGAAGCCACTAGCGGGGGCAGCGCTCGCCTTCCCGGCAGAGTTCCACGGGCTGGCAGGAGCCTCGCCTCGCGCTGGGGGCCGGGCACATGTCCTCCTTGCCCTGGCGTCCTGTGTTGCCCCACTAAGGTGGCAAACACTGCCCTGCGTCCAGACCTTCTTGGCACCTGCCTGGAGCAGCAGAGACAGCAGAGGACCTGGAGACAGGCCTCATGGCCGGCTCTGCACACACAGCCTCCAGGCTGCGTGCAGTCCCAGGCCTCATGCTCCTGGCCTGAATGCGGCTCCAGGACCCGACCTGATGCTGCAGGCGGGATGGCCAAGGCCCACGCCGTGCCTAGGGAGATCAGTTCTAACGGACTGCGGTGGCCTCAGAAGGCACAGCCTCGTGGCTATGTGTCCCTCCCCAGGCCTGGTCATGTCTGTGCCCCTCTGGCTGTACCATGAACACCCACAAGCAGGGCGAGCTGTGGCCCTTTCTCTCCTCAGCACCCACAGCTGAGGACTAGTGCCCAGCCAGGACCAGCACTCAGAAACATTTCATAAGCCAGAGGGAAGGGACACAGCGATGCGTAGGCCACCACGGAGCGTGGATTACATGCTGGCCGCGCACCGGGCTTCTGTACCACTGTAATCAGATCCCTAATCCTTTTATCCCTCTAAGAGCTCCTGTAATCTGACTACAACCCAGAGCGGAGGGGCCCCTCAATTCCAGCCAGCAAGGGTCACCTGGGGGCAGCAGCTCCTCTGATGCCTCCCAATCAGACGTCCCGCTGGGTGCCGATGCCAAGTGCCTGGATGGTAGGAGTCGCTGAAGAAAGGGACCGGGCCGGCCTGGAAGCTCTTAGCTGCTGCACGTGGCCTCTGAGCCTCTCTCCCTGGCTTCTGACCCCCGAGTTAACCGCATAGCAGTACTCTGGGGGACCCAAAGCTCGAGTGGTCTCCCGTACATGTCTGTTCCTCTACTCCTTCATCATTTACAAAGCTCTCCCCAGCGACAGCCCCCAAATCACAGTGGCTGATGTGACCACCTGAGCCCCGTGGGGCACTGCGATGACCACGTAGCCCCTCTGTGGCCTCTGTGGGCTCCAACCAGTCCCCGCTATAGTGGCCAAAGCCCCTTACCCCAAGGCATGTGATGTGCTCAGGTCTCCACATGGCTCTTCGGCACCCAGAGATTTTATATTACTTTTAACATTTTTAAACAATCATTTTCCCCAAGTCAAGCATTTAAGAAGCCTAAGGATGGGTAGCTCGAACACGGGGCCCAACTTTTCCTCCCTGGACTCAAAAGAAGCAAAGCAATAGAACAGCCGGTGGGAAGTCCGATCCCAGGCAAGAGTCAGGCAGACATCGCGCCCAGGCGCGCCCCCTCCCCAGCCACCAGGGACTCACGTCAGCCACGCAGGAAGGTGTGGTCGGGCTGCTGACAATGCAGACCCTCGCAGAGTGTCACCTCTGAAGTACAGATGTCACCGGGCACGGGAGGAGTCAGACAGGACAGCACCGGTCGTGCTGGTAACATACAGCACGCTTTGCGCCTGCACCCTGCTGGTTTCCCCGTGCTGGGAGTGCACTGGGGTCCTGGCCCGCAGAGAGTTATGCTGCTTGCCCTGCTCGCCCGGAAAGGCCCTCTGGATTCGCAATGGGTGCCCCGTGTGACCATAGGGTTTCCTGTTCCCATTACCACCTCTGTTGGGGACGCAGCAGTGGCTGGAAGCCCTGAACTGCTGTGTGACCCACGTGGGCCCCAGGCTCACCCAGCCTCCAGAGTCAGCTGGTGGCAGAGTCTGCAGGACCCAGCGAGGGTACTTGGTGTGCTTTGGTATCCTCAGGGGACAGGAGCCTCGGGACACCTGATGCAGCAGTGTCCTCTGTGAAGGCCTGACCGCGCGTGGCCTCCAGCGTAGTGAGCACTGCGCGGTCCCTCTTGATGCCTCAGGCCGCCTGCACGCTGTGTGAAGGAGCACATGACTCGGGACCAAGCGTAAGGAGAGCATCCCGCACCTCGTTCAGGCGGTGCTGTGCTCCACCACTTTCCATCCACCCCGCTGGAATCCTCAGAGGCAGACAAGAAAGGTGGCCTGCGCAGCCACCCGTGGGGTCCCCACTGTGTCTCTACCAGAGCTCACAAAGTGTCACTGCGCTTGAAGCCCACCCCCACCCCACCTGGCAGTCCCTGTGGAGACTGTCCGTGCCGCACGCCACCCCCAAGTGCTCCCAGGCAGAGGCCCGGACATCAGGACACCCATTCAGGTGTGGCATCGGCATGAAAATGAAGGCTTTGGGGTCTGAGCTCCAAATACCGCACAAAGACCCCTGCGCACCTGAAGTCACAGGGCGGGCCCTGGTGGGCTCCGTGCGCCACGCCAGGGGCCGAGGCTGTTGCCACCGTCTTAAGGGAACCTCCACAGAGTGAGCGAGGTGCACCCGTCTGACCCTGCCGCGCTGGGCAGGTGCATGGGCGGGTGCAGACCGAGCCTGTGGAGCTCAGGCTTGGCGGTCCTTCCATTCCAGGCCGAGGGCGGGCTCTGGAGTCCGAGGGAGGAGCCTCCAGGCGTGGGGGCGGAGCATGGAGAAGCTCACGCCCATCCCCGGAGGGGCTTCCATGAGGTCCAGAACAGGCGCAGGAGCTCGTGTCCTCTGCCCTCCGCACGCGCTGCAGGACTCTGTCCTCAGGAAGGCGGTGAACTTTGGGGAGGCCGGTTCGGGGCTCGGGGCCGGGTGCACCACGAAGGCGGAGCAGTAGCAGGAAGCTGGGCGCGCAGTGAGGACGCACAGACGCGTGCGTGAGTCTGCAGCACAATGTGAAGAGAGCGCAGCCAGGTGCACCCCTGCGCCTGCCCCAGGGCCTTTGCATTGCGGCCTGTGCTGGAGAAGCCCCTTCCAGCGCCCCGAGAGCCCTCCTGGGCCTGAACACGCCACACACTCCGCGCCGCGCGGCAGAAACGGTCTTCACCAGCGGCGGCGTCAGCTGCATGCAGGGTCCCTCCTTAGCAGCTCCTGAGAGGCAGCGACCTAGTCTGTCCTCAGGCGTCACTTCAGAGCGACAAGATGGGAAGTTGCTACTTGGTGGAACCAGGGCAGGGGCAGTGCCACACCGGGAGCACATCCGGAGCCCTTGTGGGCACTGGGACGGGGCGAGGGTGAGCTCTGTGCCGCACACTTGCAGAGGGCTGGGGACACCCCAGATGTCTCACACACGCTCGTGTACACGCACATGCACACACATGCACACGCACACACGCTCGCTCCCACGTGCACACACACCGTGGGAGACGCCAGACAAGATAATCAACCTGATGGCGGCCAGCCTCTCACAGTACGCGAAGTTTAGTCACAGCATCACGCTGCACATCATGAACATGTGCAAGTTTTACTTGCCAGTGATACCTCAGAAACACTGCGACATTTTTAAGAAAAGGAAAAAGGGCTCAATTAGACATCATAGAAGGAAATACTCTGTGTGTCCCGGGTCAGGCTGCACTCAGCTCTCGGATGGCCGGTACCCGCCACGGTGAGAAGGGCGACAGGACCCAGGGCCAGTCTCCACCTGGGGTCCCACACCTGCTGTCCCACACCTGGGGTCCCACACCTGCTGTCCCACACCTGGGGTCCCACACCTGGGGTCCCACACTGCCCGCCACCAGCCCCTTCCACCCTCCCTGCATATGCTCTCAGTATGCAAAGAAAGGACTTCATTAAGTCGCTTCATATTAAAACTAGCCAAGTGTCACAGCTCATAAATTCTGCAAATTGTTTATATTAATGTTTAATTTGTCCAGGGATTAGGCAGTTTTGGAAGAAACACAAACAACTTTTCTCCCCTCCCCATTTTCTGAGGGTAAACTTACTTGGAGCGACCAACTTGTTGGACCTTATTTCCCAAAGAAGATAAAGAAGACCGGGGTGCCAGGGAGCCAGCTCAAAACCCTAGCACTTACAGGAGGCTGAGGCAGGAGGACACAGCTCCAGCCCAGCCTGGAGAAAGAAACAACAATAAATAATACATGAACAAAGGGCTGGATCTTGCTCAGTACAAAGGTCCTG